TGCAGCGGTCGGATCAATAAATCACCAGTAATTGATATTTAGACAAATTTAATAACAAAACAGACTCACAAAACCAAGGTTCCAGCGGGGTAGCCAGCGGAAACAGGAGAGCAAGCGGAAGGGCCCGCGCAGCCTCTGCCCGCGCACTATATCAGTAAACATACGCCTGAGGGCAGCCCGCCCCCAAGGGGAGGGCTTATCCCTACAATCCTCATGCTTTTGCATTGGCTGTAATATATGAGATGGTCTCTGGGGGCGACTCCTTCTTGGTGTTTGGACGCTAGAGTCTAACACTTCATGTTCTGGCTTTGTGGGAGCCTAGCCAGTTTGGATGTTCACCTTCCAAAACATGGACGGAGAGGGGAGGACCTTGGACTTTCCACAGGGCAGGGAAGCTTGACTGCTCTTTGGACTTCCTCCCTTCCTCCCTCCCTCCTTCCCTTCTCCCTTCCTTCCTTCCTTCTTCTTTCTTTCGTCTCTCTTTCTCCCTCCGTCCCTCCCTCCCTTCCATGAGACAAGGTTGTTATTTTATCAGCTGCATAGTGGCTGACCTGAGCCTGCCACCCCTCGCTGATGAGGCCTAGGCCCAGGCAAGCCTTTGAGTTCTGCTGCTGCCACCTCCTTTGCTGCCGCTGCCTCTGCCGCTGCCTCAACTGCCTCCATGTCAGGAGCCAAATGCTGTCTTTTTAATGAAGTCTCTGTTGTTCTATTTTACCAATAAAGCCATGGCTGCTAACAAGATCATGTCTCGACACAACAGAACAGGGAAAAGGGGAGGAGAACAGGAGAAAGAGAAGATAGAAAGAAGAAAAATAGCCACTGAAACCAGGTACTGTACAAAGTATATAACAACCATGTTTCTTGCCTCTGTGCTTACACTCCATCAGGGTAAACACTTATAATGCTAGAATGCTCAAATGACTAAAGATGGAATGAACACACAAAGTACCCAGTCCAGCCTCAGTCTAGATAGTCAATAAAGAAGGTGGCAGATACAAGTCTTAGGCCATGTAAAAAGAAATCAGAAATTCTAAATACAATAAAAACAATGATGAAAGAATAAGTGGAATTAGTCAAATGTTTCCAGAAAATTTATGTAAAAGTAAAATTAAAGCTGGAGTGTTCTGAAAAGATTGGGATGTAGGGAGAGGTGAGCAGGGTGTAAGTTTATCTGCTGGGGAACTTTTTTCATATTTACAGGTATGCTTGTCACAAATGGCAGCAAGGACAAAATGTTAGGGATGTTGTTAAATTATATACAGCACACAGCACAGCCTTCTCTTCTCCTAACCCTTATATATTATCCAAACCAAAATGTCAACAGATGTTGAAAAGCCCTAATGTTATGTCATGAAGGGACTTGTAGGTTATGGTCACAATGTCTTGTTTGGTCCTGATAGCCAAAAGTGCCCTTACCTGTGCATTAAGAGATTCCTTTCTTCTACATGACATTAAAAGTAGACTCTAACACTAAAACCATCACACGTCATCTCCCTAATGTCATTTCAAACAGTAAATTTTAAATTCAAATAATTCTGTATTATACTCCTGTAAGCAGTAAAATAAGTGATTTACATATTTTTTCACCATTGAAAAATATGCTCTAGCCATACATACCATATGAAGCCTCTCAACAAGCTTTTGATCCCCAAGGCAATTATTTGTATCGAACCAGGAATCAAAGTCCTAGATCAACAAACGAAACACATCTTAAGGTCAAAAACAGTATTAACCACAAATGCCCTAAAGCAACAGATGTAAAATGATTTCTAGAATTAGTAT